TATGGACATGGCATATGGGATACATGGGACACATGGGAACACATAGGATACAGATGGGATACATAGCATACAGCAGGATACAATGGGATACATGGTAAACATGGGGAGACATGGGACACATGGGGAGACATGGGACACATGGGGGCACACAAGACACATGGGATACATGGGACACATGGGGACATATGGGACACATGGGGACACACAGGATACATGGGATACACATGGGCTACCCATGGGACACACACGGGACAAACACAGGGCACACACGTGGCACACACACGTGGCACACACACGTGGCACACACACATGGCACACACGTGACACACACATGACACACACGTGACACACACATGACACACACGTGACACACACATGGCACACATGTGGCACACATGTGGCACACATGTGACACACACGTGACACACACATGACACACACGGCACACACGTGGCATCCACGTGACACACACACGGCACACACGTGACACCCACACGGCACACACACGACACACATGTGGCACACACGTGGCACACACACATGACACACACATGACACACACATGACACACACGTGACACACACATGACACACACGGCACACACGTGGCATCCACGTGACACACACACGACACACACGTGACACCCACACGGCACACATGTGGCACACACGTGGCATCCACGTGACACACACACGACACACACGTGACACCCACACGGCACACACACGACACACACGTGGCACACACGTGGCACCCACATGACACCCCCGTGGCAGCCAGGGGCTCGGCGCTCACCGGAGGGGCCGCGCCTCGATGCAGGCGAGCTGGCGCAGCTCCCGCAGGAATTCCGGGGCGCTCTCCTGGCGCAGGGCCCCCCCCCCCCGCAGCCGCGTCCGCAGGAAGGCCACGAAGCGGCGCAGGAAGCCCAGGAAGTGGCGGGCGGAGCGGATGGAGCCCGGGAGAGCCTCTGCCGGGGGCACCGGGAATGGAACACCGGGAATGGGGCACCGGGAATGGAACACCGGGAACGGGGCCGGGGGCACCGGGAATACCAGAAATGGGGGGGGGGGGGGAATGGGATGAGGGGTACCAGGATCAGGGAGCACCGGGATGGAGCCCGGAAAAAACACTGGAATATACGGGAATACCGGGATCGGGGGTGATGGGCGCGCCTCTGGAATGAATCGGAATACTAGGTGCCTGTGGGGTGCTATGGGTCACTATGGGTGTTTCGGGGGGTGTTTATGGGGACCTATGGGTGTTACGTGCTGCTATAGGTGCGACGGGGGTGTCTATGGGGTGCTATGGGTCACTATGGGTGGGTATCTATGGGTGCTATGGGTCATTGTGGGTGCTATGGGGGATGTCTATGGGTGCTATAGGGTGCTATGGGGCTGTGGTACCTGTGGGCACGTCCTCGGGCAGAAGAGGCCCCCCCTGGCTGAGCTCGGGGTCCCGCAGCCCCTGCACGAGGCGCCTGTACTCCTGTGCCAGACGGGCTTCATCTACCTGCTGCAGCCTGGGGGGCACCCATAGGGGTGAGGGGGGCACCCATGGGTGGGGGTGGCACCCATAGGGGTGAAGGGAGCACCCATGGGTAGGGGGAGCACCCATGGGTTGGGGGGGCACCCATGGCAGGGGGGTGCACCCATGTGGGGGAGAGGGCACCCATAGGGGTGAGGGGGGCACCCATGGGTGGGGGGAGTGGGCACCCAGATGGGCTGGGGAGGGGAAATGGGGTGACCCAAAGGGGATGAGGATGGGGGGACCCACTTATGGCTGGGTGGGAGCCCCCCATGGAGCCGGGCGCACCCATGGGTGCCGGGGTGGAGGGGTCAATGGGGGTGCCCCCACCTCTGCACCCCGTCCTGCAGTGCCGCCAAGTTGCTCTGGCACCGGTCGAGTGTGCGGCGTGTGATGGTCACCCCCATGGCGTCGATGCAGACGTTGTCTATGGGTGGGGGGGGGAGACGAGACACTGTCACCCATGGGTGGGGTGAGGGAGCCCTGGGGGCACCCAAGGGACCCCCCCCTCACCGATGTTGTGGGCCTCATCGAACACCACCACTGCCCTGCGGGCCAGCTCCTTGGAGACGGCGTCGGCCACCTTGGGGTCCAGCAGGTAGTGGTAGCTGTAAACCACTGCGTTGGCGTGCAGGATCTGTGGGGCAGACCATGGGGACACTTGGGGGGCACCCAGCGCGTCCCCCCAGCCCTGACAACCCCCATAGCTCCCATAGTGCCCCAAAGCGCCCCATAGCCCCCATAGCGCCCCACAGTACCCCACATACCGAGTAGCGGGCGAGGAAATAGGGGCACCAGCCACGGCGGCGGCCCAGGGCGCGCAGCTCGTCCAGGTTGTAGATGCCGTGTGGCAAGGGCACGGAGCGCCCGTGGGTGTCCCAGTCCTGCGGGGGCACCGAGGGGCGGTTGGGGGGCACCCATGGGTGCTGGGGATGGACCCCTGGGTGCTGCTCCCCCCACCTCATAGAAGCTGCAGAGGGGCCGGGAGCCATCGCTCTGGGCCCGCACGTGCGGTGCCGTCAGGGCCATGCAGCGGCTGTCGACGTCCTTCCCATAGCGCAGCGCCGAGACCTGCAGAGCCCCACGGATCCCACTGGAAACCCATTGGATCCCGATGGATCCCAGCAGGTTCCAGTGGGTCCCAACGGGAACCCATTGGATCCTGATGGATCCCAGCAGGTTCCAGTGGATCCCAACGGGAACCCATTGGGTCACGATGGATCCCAGCAGATCCCATTGGATCCCGATGGAAAACCATTGGATCTGGACGGACCCCCAGCAGATCCCATTGGGTCCCTGCAGATCCAGCTGCATTCCCAATGGAAACCCGATGGATCCCGTGGGATCCCGGCACTCACCTCCGGGTGGATGCACAGGTTCTTCCTGGAGCTCAGCGCTAGCCCCAGGAACGGCAGCTTCTCCCCCAGCTCCTTCTCGTAGCAATCCAGCAGCTTCCGCAGCTCCTCCACCACCTGGCCCGGAGCCATCCCATGGGATCCCCGCGGCATTCCCGATGGGATCTGCCCCCCCACAGACCCCCAGTCCCACCTTCTCGATCTCCGGCACCGTGCGGGAGCAGTAAATCAGTTTGGTGATGTCCGATGGCCGTGCCTGCGGGAGGAGATTGGGGGCTGGGACCCACTGGGGTCCATTGGGAGTCACTGGGGTCTATTGGGAATGGCTGGGATTCATTGGGAACCACTGCAATCCATTGGAATCACTGGGATCCGTTAGGATCCATTGGGAATCACTGAGGTCCACTGGGAATGGTTGGGATTCATTGGGAACCACTGCAACCCACTGGGATCATTGGGATCCGTTGGGATCCATTTAGAATCACTGGGATCCATTGGGAATCACTGGGGTCCACTGGGAATTGCTAGGATTCATTGGGAACCACTGCAATCCATTGGAATCACTGGGATCCACTGGGAATTGCTAGGATTCATTGGGAACCACTGCAATCCATTGGAATCACTGGGATCCATTGGGAATTGCTGGGACCCACTGGAATCACAGGTACTCATTGGGAATCGCTGGGATCAATTGGAATCACTGGGACCCACCGGGATCCATGGGGAACCGTTGGGATCCGTTGCTCACCCGCTGGTAGGCGACGATGAGGGCTAGCAGCGACACCGTCTTCCCGGTCCCCGATGGCATCTCCAGCACCCCGTGACCCTGCCGGATCGCACCGGATCGCACCGGATCACACGGATCCCACCGGATCCCCACCACCACCCCCCCCCCCACCTTGGCGTCCAGCGTCCGCTTGAGCTCCAGCATGTACGAGAACTGCTCGGGGTAGATGTAGTCATAGGGGAAGGGCACCAGGAGCCCGTCCACGTTGAGCCTGCGGAGATGCCGGTACCGGGGAAGGCCCCGGATCCATTGGGATCCATTGGGATCCACCGGGATCCATCGGGATCCGCCCCCCCCAACCCCGGCCCCGCCGCTCACTTCATGGCTCCCGCCGCTCCGCCGGCACCGAGGCCCCGCCCATCGCGGTCCCCACCTCGGTCCGCACCGCCGCCCATTGGATAGCTCGCTCCACCCCCCTTCTCTGATTCGCTGCGCTCTCTGTCCATCAAGCGCCCGAGGCCGGGTGTGAGTCTCAAGCAATCGAGCGCCGAACGGACGAGCGCAGCTCCGCCCCCCCCTCCGCCCCGCCTCCCGTGACCCCCGCACGCAGGGAGCGGCTCGGACGCGTCTCAAAGAGCTTTTATTGGGGGGGGATCCATTATGGGGGGGATCCATTGGGGGGCTCCTGAGTGGGTCCAGCGGCGCCCGATCACACCTGGGGGGGAACAGGGGGGTGAGAGCAGGAATGGGGGTGCGGGGGGGGATGGGATTGCGGGGGGGTCGCTGCGCTCACCCGCGTGGCCGAGGGCCGGGGCAGGATCCGCTGCTCCCTGCCCGGGGGGCTCAGCCCAGGGGCTCCTCCCGGCCGTGGGGTGCGCTGGCTGCAAAGGGCACTGTGAGCACCCATAGACCCCACAGAGACCCCATAGAGACCCACAGACCCAACAGACATCCCATACCACCCATAGCCACCCCACAGACACCCATAGACACGCCATAAACACCCCATAGCACCCACAGGTCCCCCACAGACACTCCATAGAGACCCACAGACCCAACAGACATCCCATAGCCACCCACAGACACACCATAAACACCCCATAGCACCCACAGACACCCCATAGAGACCCACAGACCCAACAGACATCCCATACCACCCATAGCCACCCCACAGACACGCCATAAACACCCCATAGCACCCATAGGTCCCCCACAGACACCCCATAGAGACCCCTAGAGACCCCACAGAGACCCACAGACCCAACAGACATCCCATACCACCCATAGCCACCCCACAGACACGCCATAAACACCCCATAGCACCCACAGGTCCCCCACAGAGACCCACAGCCCCCCACTGACCCCCCATAGACCCCTACAGTCCCGTCCCCCCCTCACCTCTCTGCCCTGCTCCTCCTCCTCCCGCACGCCGCCAGCCCCAGCGCCGCCCCCAGCGCGGCCGCGGGCAGCGCGCACCCGAGCGCGAGCGCGAGCACGAGGGGGGGTGGGGGTGGGGGCGGGGCCCGCGGCGCGCGCGCCCCCGGCACCGGCTCCTCGCAGAGCGCGCCCATGTAGCCGTGCGCGCAGGCGCAGACGTGCCCGGAGATGTGCGTGTAGCACGTGGCGCCGTGGCGGCACGGCCCCGAGGCGCAGGCGTCGGCGCGCTCCTGGCAGCGGCGGCCGCCGTAGCCCAGCGTGCATGCGCAGTGGAAGGCGTTGGCGCCGTCCTGGCACGTGCCGCCGTTGGCGCACGGGTTCGGGCTGCACTCGTCCACGTTGCGCTCGCAGCGGCGGCCGCGGAACCCCGGGCGGCAGCGGCACAGGGGGGCGCCGGAGGGGGAGGGGCGGCACTGCCCGCCTGGCGGGGGGGGGGGGGGGGGGGGAAACGGGACGTGAACGGGGGAAGAACAAGAACGGGGGAGAACGGGAACGGGGACGGGGGAGAACGGGAACGGGAACGGGGACGGGAACGGGGGAAGAACAAGAACGGGGGAGAACGGGAACGGGGACGGGGGACTGCCCGCCTGGAACGGGGACGGGAACGGGGGAAGAACAAGAACGGGGGAGAACGGGAACGGGGACGGGGGAAGAACAAGAACGGGGGAGAACGGGGACGGGACGTGAACGGGGGAAGAACAAGAACGGGGGAGAACGGGAACGGGGCGGGAACGGGGGAAGAACAAGAACGGGGGAGAACGGGGACGGGACGTGAACGGGGCAAGAACAAGAACGGGGGAGAACGGGAACGGGGCGGGAACGGGGGAAGAACAAGAACGGGAACGGGGACGGGGGAAGAACAAGAACGGAGGCGAACGGGAACGGGGACGGGGGAGAACGGGGACGGGGACGGGGAGAACGGGGACGGGAACGGGGGAAGAACAAGAACGGGGGAGAACGGGGACGGGGGAGAACGGACGGGAACGGGGGAAGAACAAGAACGGGGAGAACGGGAACGGGGACGGGAACGGGGGAAGAACAAGAACGGGGAGAACGGGAACGGGGACGGGAACGGGGGAAGAACAGGAACGGGGGAGAACGGGAACGGGGGAGAACGGGGACGGGGACGGGAACGGGAACGGGGACGGGAACGGGGGAAGAACAAGAACGGGGGAGAACGGGGACCGGAACGGAGCGGCACTGCCCGCCTGGCGGGAGGGGGGGAGGGAAACGGGACGTGAACGGGGGAAGAACAAGAACGGGGGAGAACGGGAACGGGGACGGGAACGGGGGAAGAACAAGAACGGGGGAGAACGGGAACGGGGACGGGGGAAGAACAAGAACGGGGGAGAACGGGAACGGGACGTGAACGGGGGAAGAACGAACGGGGGAGAACGGGAACGGGGCGGGAACGGGAACGGGGGAAGAACAAGAACGGGGGAGAACGGGGACGGGAACGGGGGAAGAACAGGAACGGAGGAGAACGGGGACGGGGGAGAACGGGAACGGGGGGGGGAACGGGAACGGGGGAACGAACAGGAATGGAGCGGCACTGCCCGCCTGGCGGGGGGGGGGGGGGGGAAGGGAAACGGGACGTGAACGGGGGAAGAACGAGAACGGGAACGGAGCGGCATTGCCCGCCACGGAGGGGGGAAGGGAATGGGGACGTGAACGGGGGAACGGGAACAGGAACGGAGGGGATCGGGAACGGGGGAGAACGGGAACGGAGCGGCACTGCCCGCCTGGGGCGGGGGGGGGAAGGGAACAGAGCGGCATTGACAGCCTGGGGGGGAACCTGGACGGGGGGGGGGGACAGCAGAGGGTGAACGGGGTCAAACAGGGGTGAGCCCGGGGGGGGGGGGGGGGGGGTGAATGGTCAGAACTGGGGTGACCGGGGAGGATCAGGAGTGAACGGGGCAGAAAAGGGGGGAATGGGGGTGAACAGGCCTGGGGGAGGGGGCAGAACAGGGCCAAATGGCACTAAAGTGGCAGCAAATAGAGCCAAAGAGATGCCAGATGGTGCTGGACTGAACTGAACACAAGGGCACCCATGTACATACGTGTAAGACACATGAGCATACGTGTACACCCATGTATCACACGTACTCACCATGCATGCACGGCTGCAGGGCGCAGCCGTCAGACACGCATGTACACCCATGTACCACACATGTAACAACCATGTATCATGTGTATGTGTATGTACCATGCATGCAGGGTTGCAGGGCGCAGCCATCACACACATAACACGCATGTACCACCCTTATATCACATGTACACCCATGTAACACACACGTATCACATGTACACGCATGTACTCACCGTGCATGCAGGGCTGCAGGGCGCAGCTGTCACGTAACACACATGTACCACCCATGTACCACCCATGTATGTGTACATACCATGCAGACACGGCTGCAGGGCGCAGCCGTCACATAACACACATGTACCACCCATGTATGTGTACGTACCATGCAGACACGGCTGCAGAGCGCAGCTGTCACATAACACACATGTACCACCCATGTATGTATACGTACCATGCAGACATGGCTGCAGGGCGCAGCCGTCACATAACACACATGTACCACCCATGTATGTGTACGTACCATGCAGACACGGCTGCAGGGCGCAGCCGTCACATAACACACATGTACCACCCATGTACCACCCATGTATGTGTACGTACCATGCAGACACGGCTGCAGGGTGCAGCCATCACATAACACACATGTACCACCCATGTACCACCCATGGCTACGTACCATGCAGACACAGCTGCAGCCAGCTCACATAACACACATGTACCACCCATGTACCACCCATGTATGTGTACGTACCATGCAGACACGGCTGCAGGGCGCAGCTGTCACATAACACACATGTACCACCCATGTACCACCCATGTATGTGTACGTACCATGCAGACACGGCTGCAGGGCGCAGCTGTCACATAACACACATGTACCACCCATGTACCACCCATGTACCACCCATGTATGTGTACGTACCATGCAGACACGGCTGCAGGGCGCAGCTGTCACATAACACACATGTACCACCCATGTATGTGTACGTACCATGCAGACACGGCTGCAGGGCGCACACACACACATGTACCACCCATGTACCACCCATGTATGTGTACGTACCATGCAGACACGGCTGCAGAGCGCAGCTGTCACATAACACACATGTACCACCCATGTACCACCCATGTATGTGTATGTACCATGCAGACACGGCTGCAGGGCGCAGCTGTCACATAACACACATGTACCACCCATGTATGTGTACGTACCATGCAGACACGGCTGCAGAGCGCAGCTGTCACATAACACACATGTACCACCCATGTACCACCCATGTATGTGTATGTACCATGCAGACACGGCTGCAGGGCGCAGCCGTCACATAACACACATGTACCACCCATGTATGTGTACGTACCATGCAGACACGGCTGCAGGGCGCAGCTGTCACATAACACACATGTACCACCCATGTACCACCCATGTATGTGTACGTACCATGCAGACACGGCTGCAGAGCGCAGCTGTCACATAACACACATGTACCACCCATGTACCACCCATGTATGTGTACGTACCATGCAGACACGGCTGCAGGGCGCAGCTGTCACATAACACACATGTACCACCCATGTACCACCCATGTATGTGTACGTACCATGCAGACACGGCTGCAGGGCGCAGCCGTCGCTGCGCCGCTCGCAGTTGGCTCCGCGGAAGCCGGGGGGGCAGCGGCAGGAGAAGCCGCGGCCGCGGGGGGCGCAGGCGCCGCCGTTGAAGCAGGGCCCGAGGGCGCACGGGGACGGCTCCAGGGGGACCGGGGCCGGCGAGGGCGATCCCGGAACCGCCGGAGCCGTTCCCGGTGATCCGAGTGCTCCTGGATCCATCACTGGGGCTGCTGGTGCCACTCCCGGTGCTCCCGGTACACCTGGGTCCATCCCAATGGCTCCCAGTGGTCCTGGACCCATCACTGGAGCTCCCGGTGCCATTCCCAATGCTCCCGGATCCATCCCAATGGCTTCCGGTGCTCCTGGTGCCATTCCCACTAATGCTGGAGCCATTCCCAATGCTCCCGGTGCTCCTGGATCCATCACTGGTGCTCCTGGTGCCTTTCCCACTGATCCCAGTGCTCCTGGATCCATCACTGGGGCTCCCAGTGCCATTCCCGGTGCTCCCGGAGCCATTCCCGGTGCTTCCAGAGCCGTTCCCAGTGTTCCCAGTGCACCTGGTTCCATCACTGCTGCTCCCAGTGCCACTCCCGGTGCTGTTCCCAATGTTGCCAGTGCTCCTGGATCCATCACAGCTGCTCCCGGTGCCATTCCCAATGTTCCTGGTGCTCCTGGATCCATCACAGCTGCTCCCGGTACCAGTCCTGGTGCTCCCGGTGTCATTCCCAATGTCCCCAGTGCTCCCAGTACCATCACTGGTGACAGCGCCGGTGCCTGCAGGGCCACCGTTGGTGCTCCCGGTGCCATTCCCGGTGCTCCCGGTGCCTCTCCCGGTGCTCCCAGTACCTCTTCCAGTGCTCCCGTTGCCGATGCCGGTGCCACTGGGGCCACTGGGGCCATCTCCAGCGCTTCCAGTGCCACCGTTGGTGGTCCCGGTGTCATTCCCGGTGTCCCTGCTGCCATTCCTGATGCTCCTGGTGCCATTCCCAATGCTCCCGGTGCCATTCCCTGTGTGCGGGCCGGGCTGGGGCCATCGCAGCGGGGCCCTGCGGAGTTGCTGCTGTGACCCTGCAGGGGGAATGTGGGGCACGGGGGGGGGGGGGCGTTGCATCAGTGGGGTCCCTGTGGTGTCAATGGGGTCCCTGTGGGGTCAATGGGGCCAAGGGGGTCAATGGGGTCCCGGGGAGGGTCAATGGGGGTTGGGGGGGTCAATGGAGGCTTGGGGGGGTCAATGGGGCCCAGGGGATTCAATGAGGTCCCTGTGATGTCAATGGGAGCTTGGGGGGGGTCAGTGGGGGTCAATGGGGTCCCAGTGGTGTCAATGGGTCCCAGAGGGGTCAATGGGGGGGTCCCTGTTGCCGGGGGTCCCCCACTCACCATGCAGAGCCCCCCCTTGCTGCAGGCGCTGCCTTTGGGGGGTGCGCAGGGATCCCGACACCCACCTGGGGGATAGAGGGGGGGGTCAAGGCCTCTCCCAGACCCAGGGGACCCCAATGGGGGGGGTCCCCAGTGGAGGTGAGCCGGGGGGGGGGAGGAGGACTCACGGCGGGGGGGGCTCCAGCAGCGGCGGGGAGAGGGGCCTCGGCAGGCGGGGGGGAGGGCGGGGCGGCAGCGGCGGGCGCAGGGGGGGGGGCGGCAGCGCAGGCGGGTCCCGAAGCGGAGCCCCCCCCCCCCCCCCCCCCCGCCAGGGCCCCCCAGGGGAGAGGTGCTGCCGGGTCACGGCGCGGCCAAGGAGGCGGCCCCGGGGGGCTGGGGGGGGCAGAGCACGGTGACCCCCACATAGCACCCATAGGTACCCCATAGACGCCCCATAGATACCACCCTAGCACCCATAGATAGCCCATAGATATCCATAGACACCCCATAGATACCCCCATAGCACCCCTAGATACCCCATAGACACCCCTAGACCCTCCCATAGACACCCCATAGACACCCATAGATACCGCATAGCACCCATAGACACCCCGTAGACCCCCATAGCACACATAGATACCCCTGTAGCACCCATAGCACCCATAGACACCCCCAAACCCCCTCAGGTCCCCCATGTAGCTCCCCCCCATTTGACCCCCCCTCACCCCCGGAGCCTTCAGCCTCCTCCAGCCGCCAGGACTCGATGATGAGGGACACAGTGGCCTGGGGGCGGGGCAATGGGGGGTGTCACAATGGGGGGGGGGTCACAATGGGGGTCTCAGTGGGGGTCACAATGGGGGAGTCACAATGGGGGGTCACAATGGGGTTCACAATGGGGGGATCTCAATGGGGATCTCAATGGGGGTCTCAATGGGGATCTCAATGGGGGTCTCAATGGGGAACTCAATGGGGATCTCAATGGGGGGTTCTCACCGGCCAGGGGTAGGCGAGGGGCAGGCGCAGGGTCCGGGGGGCTCCGGGGCGCGGGGGGGGCCCGGGGGGGCTGTGGGTGACCCCCAGGGAGCAGCCGCCCCCCCCGGGGGGGCGCAGGCAGAGGCGGAAAACGAGGGGGCCCCCCGCCCCCCCCCGCGCCGACAGCACCCGCAGCTCCAGCACCCCCCAGGGGCGGACCTGAGGGAGAACCCCCCTGAGACCCCCCCTCAGCACCCAGAGATCACCCCAGAGACACCCCTCAGCACCCATGGACCCCCCCCATAGCACCCAGAGACGCCCCCCCATAGAACCCCCCCAGCACCCAGAGACCCCCCCGGACCCCCCCATAGCACCCAGAGACGCCCCCCATAGCTCCCAAATACCCCCCGAGACCCCCCCTCAGCACCGAGACCCCCAGAGACCCCCCCCATAGCACTCAGACACCCCCCCAGGCCCCCCCCAGCAGCCAGGGACCCCCCCATAGCCCTCCCTTGTGTCCCGTCCCCCCCCTCGCTCACCGCTGGGAGGAAGAGGAGGGTGAGGAAGGCGCGCACGAGCCCCGCACCCATGGCTGGCACCGGGGGTCTGAGCCCACCCCACCCCCCCAACACCCCCTTTCTAGCGGCAAGCCCCGCCCCCGCCCATAAGCTCCGCCCCAAGCCCATTGGCCCCCCCACAAAGTCATGACCAGGCACAGCGGGTTCCACATCTCCTTTATTCACCCCCACCGGGGGCCAAACCCCCCCAAAACCGCTCAAACCCCCAAAACCGCACAACCCCCCCCGGAAAACGCTCAGGCCCCCCCTCCCCCCCCAAACGCCTCATCCCCTCCCAGCCCCAGGTCCATGCCCGGTTCTCCATCCCCATTCAGATGCCATCAATGATGGTAGGGGGGTGGGAGCAGGGAGGCAGTGCCCCTTCCCCCCGGCGGGCGCTGCTCCTCTCTGACGTCACGCTGACATCACTCTGACGCCATCACTGCTGCTTGGAGCGCCCCCAGAGGCGCCCGGCCCAGGAGCCCAGGAACAGCCCCGGGGGGGGCTTCTTGCCCTGGGCCAGCTCCTCCCGGCGCTGCTGCTCCTCCTGGGGGGGGCACAGGGCCCCGGTGGGCAACGGGCTCCGGTACCTCCCCCTCCCGCACCTCTCCCTTGGGGACCCCCCCTCCTGCACCCCTGCTTTGGGGGACCCCCCCCCAACATCCCTGCTTTGGGGTTTCCCCCCCACCCCAACATCCCCCTCCCACCTCCTCCAGCTGCGTCCGGCGCCGTTTGAAGGCTGCCAAGGGATCCTCCTCCAGCGCGTAGTGCTCCAGCACCGGGCGCACGTCCGGCACGCCGCTGAGCGCAATGGCTGCGGGGACACCGTGGGGACACCATGGACACAGCACGGGCACCACAGGGACACCATGGGGACACCACGGGGGACTCACTCTTGAGGAAGGCAGCCAGGTCGTAGAGCTGCCGGTCCTCGGAGCTGCCGTCCCAGCGCGGCAGGGCCAGGCCGTTGTGGGGCTGGAGGCAGAAGGCCTCGCGCCGGCAATCCACCACCACCACCCGCGCCGGGTCCCGGTTCAGGCACGAGATGTCCTGCAATGGGGGGGGGGCACGGACCCAGCAATGGGTGCTCAGGGCAGGTTTGGGGGTGCCCCCCCCCCCGGCCAGGTCCCTGCCGTGCCCCCACCTTCACGTGCTGCCCGTCCATGTAGCGCGTGGCGTCACGGAACAGGCGGTAAGAGACGAAGCCGTGCGGGTCCACGCTGTCGATGAGCGGGAATGCGGTCTGAAACGGGGGGGGGGGGTGGGGGTGAGAGCCTGCAGGGGGTGGGGGGCACCCATCGGGGCCCATTCACCCCCATTGGGACCCATTCACTCCAGTGGGGTCCATTCACCCCCACTGGTAAAAATTCACTCCACTGGGATCCATTCAACCCCATCGTGGTTCATTCACCCCCATGGGGCCCATTCACTCCCACTGGGGCCCATTCACCACCGTTGGGACCCATTCACTCAATTGGGGTCCATTTACCCCCGCTGGGACCCATTCACTCCACTGGGGCCCATTCAACCCCATCATGGTCCATTCATTCCATTAGGGCCCATTCACCCCCATTTGGACCCATTCACCCCCATCAGGGCCCATCCACCCCATTGGCCTCATTCACCCCATGGCACCCATCCACCCCATAGGCCACATTCATCCCATAGGCCCCATTCACCCCATGGCGCCCATCCACCCCATAGGCCCCATTCACCCCATGGCGCCCATCCACCCCACGGTGCCCACCATGCCGGTCTCGGAGGTGAACACCACGATCTCATAGAGCGGCGCCAGCTGCTGCAGGAAGCTCTCGATGCCCGGGCGCTTCTTGAAGCGCCACCCGGTGACGAGCTGGGGTTTGGGGGGGGCACAAAGGGGGTGTCAATGGGGGGGGCACTGGGTGCCAGGGGGGGCGGCGCGGGGGGCACTCACCGACCATTCGGGGTGCAGCAGCACATCCGTGAGCTCGATGACCAGCGTGTAGGGGGGCTGGTAATAGGGCTCCTGCAGGGGGTCCGGCAGCAGCTTGGGGCTGGTGGGCTCGATGATCATCTGGGGGGGGGCAAAGAGGCTCCAATGGGGGCAGACAGGGTGCAATGGGGGCAAATAGGGCACAATGGAGACAAACAGGGTGCAATGGGGACAAACAGGTTCCAGGGGGGGCAAGCAGGGTGCAGTGGGGGCAAAGAGGCTCCAATAGGGGTAAACAGGGTCCAATGGGGGCAAACAGGGTGCAATGGGGGCAAAGAGGCTCCAACAGGGGTAAACAGGGTGCAATGGAGGCAAACAGGCTCCAATGGGGGCAAACAGGCTGCAGCCACCAACCTGCCTGTAGTCCTTGAAGTACTTGTAGGTCCTACGGAGCTGCTGGATGCCCACGGGGTCTATGGGGACAGGCCGGTGATGGGGGGGGGGCCATGTCCCCACCACCCCCCCACAGAGCAGAGCACCCCCAAAACCCCCTGGTTCGGGGTCAAACCAGAGCCTTAAAGCAGCATCAAAGCCTTTGGTTGTGACACCAAGGAGAGAAATGGCCCTGGGGGTGCCCCCCCCCAACTCACCTCCATCGAACTCATCTGGGATCTGTGGGGAGAGGAGGGAACAGGGGGTAAGTGGGGGGCACTTGGGGGGTGCTGGTGGCACCGGGGGGGGGGGCTCATCCCGGGGTGGGAAGGGAGGCAGGAGGTGACAGGGACACTTAACAAGTAGTTGTCACAGTTTCCTTCCGCCCCATTGATGTCCCCATAGCCCCATTGACATCCCCATGGCCCCATTGATGTCCCCATTGATGTCCCCATGGCCTCACTGATGGCCCCATCCCCCCCTTTGATGTCCAACCCTGCAGCCAATTGTCACCTCTCCCATTGCCACACAACGGCCCTTTGGAGGACACCCCCCCCCCCAGGGGCCGATGATGAAGGACAAGGGGGGGGCACAAGGCTCAACCCCCCCCCCATGTCCCCAGTGGGGGCCTCACCTTTGCTCCGTGCTCATCCACTGCATTGCTACCTGGGGGGGAGACATGGGGGGGTCAGGGGGTGCTGGGGGCAATGGGGGGGTCACTAGGAGGACATAGGGGGGATACATTGGGGGCAGTGGGGGGTACATTGGGGACAATAGGGGTTACATTGGGATGCAATGGGGGGAACATTGGGGACAATGGGGGTTACATTGGGGCACATTGGGGCATTGGCGTTACACTGGCGTGCACTGGGGGCAATGGGGGTTACATTGGGGTGCATTGGGGGTTACACTCGGGGCAATGGGGTTTACATTGGGGTCAATGGGGGCAATGGGGGTTACACTGGGGCACATTGGGGTGCATTGGGGGCAATGGGGGTTACATTGGGGTCGATGGGGGCAATGGGGGTTACATGGGGCACATTGGGGTGCACTGGGGGTTACATTGGGGGCAATGGGGGTTACATGGGGCACATTGGGGTGCACTGGGGGTTACATTGGGGTGCATTGGGGGTTACATTGGGGGCAATGGGGTTACATTTGGGTCGATGTGGGTTACACTGGGGCACATTGGGGTGCACTGGGGGTTACACTGGGGGCAATGGGGGTTACATTTGGGTCGATGGGGGCAATGGGGGTTACATGGGGCACATTGGGGTGCACTGGGGGTTACATTGGGGGCAATGGGGGTTACATTTGGTTCGATGGGGGCAATGGGGGTTCCATTTGGTTCGATGGGGGCAATGGGGGTTACACTGGGGCACACTGGGGTCAATGGGGGCGCGCCGCTGGGGGGCGCTGTCGGTACCCACCGAAGATGCAGACGATGGCGACGCCGCCGCCGGCCCCGAGCAGCCCCGCCAGGCGCAGGGCCAAGCGCCGCGCCCCGCCCCGCGCCCAGCGCCGCTGCTCCTCCGCGTCCCCCGCGGCTCCCGCGCCCCCTGCTGCCTGGGAGGGGAACCGGCACAGGGCTATAGGGGACGGTACGGGCTATGGGATAGGTACAGGCTATAGGACACAGGCTATAGGGTAGAGACTATAGGGCACAGGCTATAGGGGACGGTACAGGCTATAGGGTACAGGCTGTAGGGCACAGGCTATAGGGGACGGTACAGACTATAGAGTACAGGCCATAGGGTACAGGCTATAGGGGACGGTACAGACTATAGGGCACAGGCTATAGGGGACGGTACAGGCTATAGAGTACAGGCCATAGGGTACAGACTATAGGGTACAGGCTATAGGGTACAGACTATAGGGTACAGGCTGTAGGGGATGGTACAGGCTATAGGGTGCAGGCCATAGGGTACAGACTATAGGGTACAGGCTGTAGGGCACAGGCTATAGGGGACGGTACAGGCTATAGAGTACAGGCCATAGGGTATAGACTATAGGGTACAGGCTATAGGGGACGGTACAGGCTATAAGGTACAGGCCATAAGGTACAGACTATAGCGTGCAGGCTGTAGGGCACAGGCTATAGGGGACGGTACAGGCTATAGGGTGCAGACCATAGGGTACAGACTATAGGGTACAGGCTATAGGGGACGGTACAGACTATAGGGCACAGGCTATAGGGGACGGTACAGGCTATAGGGTACAGGGTACGGGGTATAGGGTACAGGGTACCGGATATAGAGTACAGGGTACGGGATATGGGACACGGGCCGTGGGACGCGCACGGGGATGGGGACAGGCCCGGCTGAGGGCGGACCCCGGGACCCCCGCACGGCCCCGGTGAGCTCCAGGCCCCGCCGGTGCCCCCGCGCCCCCCCCGCACCTGGTCCCGCCGCAGCCGCTCCCGCAGCACGGCCCCGGTTCCGGTGCTGCCGCTGCAGGCCCGGCCCCAGGCCCGGGCCCAGGCCCGGGCCCAGCCCCGGCCCCGCCGGGCCCCGCAGGCCGCAACCGCCCGCCCCAGCAGCGCCGCCGCCGCCGCCGCCATCGCACCGCACCGCACCGCGCAGGCGCGGAAACCTCAGCCAATCGCCTCCCCGCGCTGCTACGCAGTAGGCGGGGCGCAAGGCGAGAGAAGACCAATGGTGGCGAAGAGGAGGCGGGATTAAGAGCCGGGAAAGCCAATGAGAAGCGGCGGGAGGGAGGAGGGAGCGGAACGCGTGCGTTGGGTCCTAGCTCCCGCCGTCCCGCGCCTATGGGGCAGCGGATGGGGGGGACCCGGTTTAACGCCCACCCCATAGCGCCCTGCCCCCCAACCCACCGCACAATGGGGCCGGTTTAACCCCTCATTCCCCTTCCCCGTGGGGTAGAGAGGCCTTGTTCACCCCTGGGGGGGGGTCCCAATTTCATCCCCAACCCCCACCCTATGGGGCCCGCCCCATAGAGGAGAGCATGGAAAATAGGGTGCCGCAGCCACAGGCGTTTATTTGACATCTAAACCTTGCTACAACCGGCAGGGATGGGAAGAGGGGGAGAAATAGGGGGGAAATGGAAGGGAAATGGGGGGAAATGGAGGGCACAAGACCACGGGGTTGCGGGGTGGGCCTCAGGCCTCCAGCAGCTTCCCGAGGAAGCGCAGGTTGAGGATCTTGAGCTGCTCCTCCAGGTCCATGCGGACGATCCCGTCCTCTCCATCGATGCTGAGCAGGATCCCAGTGGCTTCCCGGTCCTCACCCAGGATCACCTTCACCTGAGGGGCAGCAGTGGGGTCAGGGGGAGGGGTGCAATGGGGGGGAAAGGGGACTTTGGGGGTGCAGAGGGGTTGGGTGTGTGGTTCTAGGAGGTCTATGAGGGGCCATGGGGTGAGGGCCATGGAGGGGGGAAACCTATGGGGTTGGGGGTTGCCCTGTGGGGCTGTGAGAGTCCCATGTGTCTGGAGGTGCCCCATGGTGTTGGGGATCCCCACTGGGTTCTGGAGGTCTCATGGAATTCCTGTGGGGCTCTGGGGTACCCTATGGGGCTCTGGGGTATCCTATGGGGCTCTGGTGTACCCTATGGGGCTCTGGGGCATCCCATGGGGTTCTGGGGTAACCGACGGGGCTCTGGGATATGCTATGGGGCTCTGGGGTATCCTATGGGGTGCGCCACGGCCATACCTTGTTGCTCTTGGTGGGGGTGACGGGCTCGAGGTGCTCGCTGGAGATGCTCACCACCTTTTCGCTGTCCTTGAGGTACACAGAGCACATCCCCCCCTGTGGGGCGGGGGTGTCAGCACCCCCATATACACCCCTATACACCCTCATACACCCCCTATACACCCCCATACACCTATACACCCCATATAAACCCCATATACACCCCAATTCACCCCATATACACCCTTATGCACTCCCATACATCCCATGTACACCCCCATACACCCCTACACACCCCATATACACCCTTATACATGCCTATACACCCCCTATACACCCCCATAGACCCCCCCGGCCCCCCCCCCCCCAGTGGGGCTCACCGTGACGCTGCGGATGACCCCGGTCTGCCCCACACTGGGGCTGTCGAGCGCCGTGTCCCGCACCTTCACCTGGATGTCGGTGGTGACCCAGTCGCTGGAGCTCTGCTCGATGCCCGAGCCCGGGGTGTGCGGGTTGTACCCCCCTGGCGACGGTGCCCCAGGGGTCATGGGGCTGTACCCCACAGGGCTGGGGCTGGGGCTGGCCTGGGGGGGGGGCACAAAGGGGGTTAAAGGGATGGGAGGTGGCTATGGGGCGCTATAGGGCTCTGTAGGGCTCTACAGGGCTCCATAGGGCCCTATGGGTACCTGATAAGCCATGGGGGATGGCGTCGGGTGGTAGCTGGCCGGCGAGTGGCTGTTCTGGTAGCCCACGGGGCTGGGAGCTACCTGGTGGTAGCTCTGGGGACTGGGGCTGGGTTGGTACGAGCCCTGCGGCGACGGCACCGCGTAGGGGGAGAACTGCTCCGTGTTGTACCTGGGGGAGGGGACAGGACCGGAGCCCCCCATGGGAGCCATCAGCACCGGGCCCCCCAGCCCCGTGTTTGGGGTCCCCATAGACCCATGGTTGGGGTCCCCACAGACCCATATGTGGGGTCCCCCCATCAGCATTCCCCCCTCAGTCCATTGTTTGGGGTCCCCACAGACCCATGGTTGGGGTACCCCCCTCACCATTCCCCTCCCAGCCCCATGTTTGGGGTCCCCCCTCCTGGCTGTGGGGTGCCCACACTCACATGGCCGGCGTGCCAGGGGTCTGGGGGTTGTAGGGCTGGTTGACCTGTGGGGATGAGGGGTCAGGGTACCCGGGGGTTTGGGGGTTCGGGGTCCCCCCATATCCCTGCGGGGACGGGGTGGGCTCGTCGTCGAAGCCGTACTCGAAGTCCTCATCCGCCCTATGGGGGAGGGGATAAAGGGGAAGGGATCATGGTGAGGGAAGGGGGACGACCCCCCAAAGTGGGGCTGCCCCATAGCAGGGGTTCCCCCCACACCTACCTGGAGGGGGTGTTGGGGTTGTTGGGGTCCCAGGCCCCGCTCTGGGCTGGGGTGCGGCTCCCGTCATGCAGTGGGGTCTGGGATCCATAGTGTGGGGTGCGGCTGCCTGTGCCCCACCAAACAGACCCACAGTGAGGGGGGGGCCCCAAGCCCAGTTGGGCCCCCCCATCCCATCCCATCCCCGTGCCCCCCCTCACTCACCATCGTGCAGGGGGGTCTGGGAGCCGTACATGGGGGTGCGAGACCCAGAGCCATACATGGGGGTCTGGGAGCCGTACATGGGGGTGCGCCCATAGGCAGAGGTCATCCCCCCCGGCCGCCGCGAGCCCCTGTGGGACACAGAGACACTGAGCCCTGGGGGGGGCCAAGGGGGCACCTATTGGGTGCTACCCTGCCCCACAGGGTCCCCCATTGGGTGCTGCCCTGCCCCATGGGGTCCCCATTGGATGCTGCCCAGCCATGGGGTCCCCCGTTGGGTGCTGCCCAGCCCCATGGAGACCCCTGCTGGGTGCTGCCCAGCCCCATTGGTCCCCTGCTGGGTGCTGCCCACCCCACGGGCCCCACTCACACGGTGGTGAGGCGCTGCCGGTCCACGGAGATGGTCTGGCAGGTCGAGTGCAGCTCCACGCGCGCCGTGGACTCGGTGGCATCCTTCACCACCCCGATGTACCCTGGAGGGCAACAGGGGGGGCGATGGGGGGGGCACCCGGGGGGATCCTCCCTGCCCTGGGTGGGGGGGGCGGGTCAGAGGGCACCCACCTTTGTAGGGCCCCTGAGAGATGCGCACGGTCTGGCCAATGAGGTCGTTGTCCCGGCGCCCGCGGCCACGGCTCATCCCGCCGGAGCCGAAGCCTCCGCGCTGGCCTGAGGGATGGAGCCGGGATGGGGATGGAAATGGGATCAGGATGGGACAGGGACGGGACGGGGACGGGATAGGGACAGGATGGAGCCGGGATGGGATGCAATTGGGATGGAGATGGAGATGGGATGGGGATGGGATGGGGATAGAGACAGGACGGGGATGGAAATGGGATTGGAACGGGATGGGGATGGAGCCAGCATGGGGACGGGATAGGGATGGAGATAGGATTGGGATGTAGTCAGGACATGGATAGAGACGGGAGTGGGGAAGGAAATGGGATGGAGGCAGGATGGGGACGGAATGGGGATGGAGCCGGGTTGGGGATGGGATGGGGATGGAGCCGGGATTGGGATGGAGCCGGGATGGGGATGGAGCCAGGATCAGGGATGGGAACTCACCCCCCCCCCCCCCAGGAACTCACCAGCACCACTGGGGTGCATGGGGCTGCTGATGCGGGGGCTCATGGGCGCGAAGCCGCCGATGGTGAAGTTGGTGACGTCCCGGGGCTGCGTGAGGAAAAGCTTCGGAATGGGGGGGATACGGGATAAAGGAGGGGTGGGATTCAGGATAAAGGGGGGGATCCCACCTTGGAGCCCCCAGCCAGCACCAGGTGCCTGGTCTTGCACACGAACATGCCCCCATTCTCCACCAGCTTCTTGCAGTGCAGGAAGGCGAAGCCGCGGAAGAGGTGCCGGATCTCCCCTTCCCGGCCCTATCACAGGAACACAAGGGGTGAACAGCAGGAAAAAGGGGGGGGGGGGGGGGGGGCTAAGCCCCCGGGATGAGGCTGGGTCCATCCTGCTGTGACGGGATGGATTCGACAGCCCTGTGGGGCTGGAGGGACCCCAAGGACCATTCCCAAGGTGCCAGGAGGGACCCCAGGGACCATCCCCAGGGTGTCAGGAGGGGCACCAAGGACCACCCCCAAGGTGCCAGGAGGGGCACCAATGGCCTGGATCCCCCTGGCCCCCCCCAGCACCCACCGAATGGGGCCCATCAATGACTTTGACGATGTCCTTGACGTGGATGTTGTTCTGCTCCGAGTCCAGCGCCACAGCGAAGCGATTGTCCTTCTTCCTGGTGACCGCCTGGTGCCGCACTGTCACCACCTTCCCGTACATATTCAGCACCTGGGGGGGGCACAGCATGGCGAGGAGGGGGGCACAGCAAGGGGGACCCCCCATGGGGATGAGGAACCCCTATGGTAGGAGGCTGAGGGGGGAGATACCCGTGGGATGTAGTTATGGTAGCACCAAGAAAGGGTTGGTGTCCTTGGCGGGTGTTGGTGTCCATGAGGGGATTATGGGTATCTATGGGGGGGTTATGGGTGTCTATGCATTATGGGTGTCCATGGGGGAGGTTATGGGTGTTCATGGGGTGGTTATGGGTGTCCATGGGGGAGGTTATGGGTGTCCATGGGGGGGTTATGGGTGTCCATGGGGGGGGGGGGTTATGGTTGCCCATGGGGGTACCTGGAACGTCTCCCGCTCCAGGCGCACGATGACCCCCACGCTCTGGGGGTCGAGCTGCACCAGCTCCCCCCACTCGTGCTGCCCCCCAACATCCACCCCGGAGGCCGTCTCCGAGCAGAGCTGCAGGTCTCGGGGCAGCACCTTCAGCTGTTGGGGGGGAAGAGTCAGGATTGAGCCCAGACCCACCCCGCCACCCCCCCCTTCCCCCC